TCTTTCTTTCTTTCTTTCTTTCTTTCTTTCTTTCTTTCTTTCTTTCTTTCTTTCTTTCTTTCTTTCTTTCTTTCTTTTTTTCAGAGCTGAGGACTGAACCCAGGGCCTTGCGCTTGACTTAGGCAAGTGCTCTACCACTGAGCTAAATCCCCAACCCCCAGAGTTAACATTTTCTAATTGAACACTCCCCACATCATCACATGACAGAAAAATTTTATCTGCAGTGGGCTGAGATGTAGCTCAGTTGGTAGAATGCTTGCCTAGCATGCACGAAGCCCTGGGTTCCATCTCCAGTACCACAGGAACTTGGTGTGCCAGCACACACCTGTTATCCCAGCCACAGGGAGGTGGGAACAGGAGGATCAGAAGTTCACAGACATTCTGGATATACTTGGCTGCATTTCTACGTAGATCAAGGTCAGCCTCAGCTACATGAGACCCAGTTAAAAACAGAAAAATGAAAATGTATCCTCACTCAAGAGATGAGCAAAGTATGACTTGGAGAGAAGAAGTAGCGTGAAGGAAATGCTCTTGGGAAGGTAGGACAGAACTACACATAGGGCTAGGTGTAAAGGCTGGAGTCCAGGCTGTGCTGGGGATGTGTTAGGTGGAAGATGTCCTGGGATGGGCTTGAAGAAGACGATGGAGTTGGGAATCCAACTTGGGATGAGTTTCCGAGGGATAAGTTGGAGTGTGGACTGAGAAGGAGGTGAAGCTAGGGCCTGGGAGTGAGTGAGGCTGACTTCTCAGAAGGGCAGGCTGGGCTGACCTTGAGACAGTCTCGGAGGGTAATGAGGCTTGAGGCCAAGTTGGGTGTTGAGATTTGTGAAGAGGCTGAGGACAGTAAGGAGTGTGGTCTGGGAAAAGATGGATTCGGGATGAGATGGGGATGGATGGAACAGGTGTCAGGAAGGAGGGGGTTGGATTTGCTGGCTATGGATGGTAGTTAGAGATGAGGCTGCTTTCAGGCCGGGATGCAACATGGTGGCTGCGATTTGTCAGGAGGTAGGGCTGGGGCTGAAGATGAGGATGGGGAGAGCTGAGTATAGAGAAAATGTGGCTGGCCTTTATAATGGGCACCCATGGGAAGCATCGTAGTACATGCCTGTCATGAGGCTGCAGATGAAGAGAAAGAAGTCCATCGAGGGCGTGTTGGTGCTGGAGAAGAATATGGTTCTGATGAGACCCATACACACACAGAAACTCATGATACCAGAGATGAGGAGGCAGGCCCAGGCCAGGTCCAGCAAGTCTGGGAAAAGAAGAGAATCAAGAGCGCCAAGCTTGTGCTGAGGAGATGGCTTCACAGTTAAGTGTGCCCCCTGCTGTCCTGGAGGACCTGAGTTCAATTCCTAGCACCTACTCTAGGTGGCTTACAACCACCTGTAACTTTAGTTTCAGGGAATATGATGCCTTTTTCTGGCTTCTGTGAGCACCTGCTCTAATGTACACAGACCCACACACATACCCACACAGACACATAAAGATTTTAAAACAGATGGCCATCGTAGGGCATCCCTCTAATCTCAGCTCTCGAGAAGCAGAAGAAGGCAGATTTCTGTGAGTTTGAGGCTAGCCTGATTTACATAGTAAGAACCTATATCCAATAAATAAATATTTAAAAGAAAAGTGATTGAGAAAGTGCCTAACATTAACCTCTTGGCCTCCAAATGCACACACACACACACACACACACACACACACACACACACACACACACTCACACATACTGACACATGCAGATACAGACAGACAGACATACACACTGACACATGCAGATACAGACATGCATACATTCAGACAGACAGTCAGGCAGGCAGATAAACACACACACACACACACTCTCTACTAGAACTCTACTAGAGGCCAGAGGAGGGCAGTAGATTACCTGGAACTGGAGTTACAAGTGGTTGTAAGCCACCTAGGATTGGTAAGGACCATTGCTGCGGGCCACAGGAATATCTCAAAAGAACTCAGCTGGTTATGGCAAAGTCATACCTGGAGGGATCAGGGAATTCCTCCAGAGGAAGCCAAATCCCAAGGAGTTTTTGGTGTTACTTGGCTTGTTATATATCAGCTGTCTTCTGTTATGAAAATCATGTGTGCCTTCATAGTTTTTCCAATTGAGTTTCCCCTAAGAAGGACTAACAGTGTAGACTGATCACTCTCTGGACATACACATTCCAGGTATTTGGAGAACAGCCTCAGGAAAGGCTTTCTCTGGAATCAGATATCTCCCTTGGCCACTTTCAAGGACTACAGGAAACACCACCCAGGTGGGCGCCCATTGTCAGAAGACTAACAATGATAAAAGCCCACATGCAAGTCTCCTGACTTACGGTAAATTCCACAAGGAGACACCGCCTAGGAGAGGTGGACATTAAGTAATAGCTTTATACAATTTAGCTCGGACCCTCCCTTTATATACCGAGACTTCCAGGAGGCAGAGGAGAAGAGAAAAGAGAATGGAAGAACTAGATGGGTAAGAACTTGAGAGGAACAAACTGAGATGGGGAAGAACTAGATTGAAGGGCTAAAAGAGAGGACTAGAGGAACGAGATGGAAGATGAGGAAGAGCCAGATGGGGAAGAACAAGATGAGGAAGAACCAGATGAGCGAGAAGGAGATGGGAGAGGAGCTGATGGGGAAAGAACTAGATGGATGAGAACCTAGAAGGGACAGAACTAGATGAAGGATTTAAGATAGAACCTTGAGGGGACAGTAGACAAATATAGAGAAATTAGGCAAGAAAGGAGCTAGACATGAGAACAGAACTGAAGCTGTGTATAAAGGATGTTATGCCAGAGGAATTAAAGCAAGTGGACGATAGAGCTCGGTGTGCTGAGATTCTATTTCCTGAAAATTGTCCTCGCCGTTAGTAGTTCTCTCTCCTGAGCCCCTGGGATATATACTATTGAGGCTGGTTCCTCTAATATTATACAAGACCAAGAAAATGAATTCTTTGCTTTGCTGCAACTGATGCTGATTCACTGAAGAGGAAATAAACCTCCCCAAGTTGCTTTTGGTTAGAGTGCTTCATCCCTGTATTTGAAACCCCTACTAAGATGAGTCCTGAAAAAAGACAGCTGAAGCCGTCTTCTGGCTTCCACACACACTTGCACCTGCACACTTACACATGCACACACAAACCAACATTGAGCTCTAAAAACTGGCTATTGGATGCATCAGACCCGGTATGTGAGACAGACTTCTTGGTCAGTGACATCAGGCTCTTGGGCATGAAGAAGGTGTGAGGCATCAAGGAGTAACCTAAGGAGGGGAGAAACTATTCCTTGAGCTTCTCTGAGACAAAGAGAATACCTGAGTCTCGCAGGGGTGGGAACAGGGCCAACCTTAAAAGCATTCTTACCATAGTCATTCATGCAGGAGATGTCAGGGCAGCCCATGAAGAAGGTGGTGTCAATGGGGATGGTCTTGGGGCCAGTGGGGTCCCCTGAGGGCACTAGAGGCACTTGGAAGCGGATCCAGGGCTGCCAGAAGGCAATGAAGTTGAGCATCAGCATGCCGACCACAGTCAGTACCAGGCTAAGGTACTGGCTGATCTTCTTGGCTTCCAGCAGCAGCATCCAGCCCATGCGCAGCAGTGGCCAGTGTTTGCTCTGAGTCCTGTGACAGATCATGTGACCAGTATCAGCAGAAAGTCCATGTACCCTGCCCAGCCACCCCACAACCATCTTCAGATCCCATCTGAGAAGCCAGGCATGGTGGCACATGCCTTTAATCTCTGCACAGAAGACAGAGGAAGGAGGGTCTGAGTTCAAGGTCAGCTTGGTCTACATAGAGAGACCCTATCCCAACAAAACAAAACACCAGAACTCATCTACCTTGCATCTGCTCAGATCCCTTCTGTCTCACTCAGGTCCCCTCTAGCCTGTGCTGTACCTCCAGTTTCAAATGCAGGTACAGCTCCAGGCTTGACTGTGGCCCCCCGCGCCTCCTCGACTCACCTATTGGAGCCCATTGCAGTAGAAAGGCTTGCCAGTTTGGAGAAACTGCCTACAGCGCTCTGACTGGATAGAGACCTGTGTAAGTGTTCTCTTAAACTATCCTTGGAGTCCCCGACGAAGGACTCAAAGCTCTCGATGCTGGCGTCTGGGCTGCAGGTTATGGATGGGGGGACGTCCACACTGGACCGTTTTTGTTTTCTGTTGAGTTGGTGTGACTGGATCAAGGAGAGGGGGCTGTCAGTGTTGGTTTGTAAGCTGTGGATTTCTGACTGGACATTGCTCAGGGTATGAGAGTTTCGGATGTTGAGTCGGTGATTATGGTAAAGGGAAAAGCTCTCTCTGGAACTGGGAGAGTGATTGTAGCCAACAGATTGTATACGTTGTGTATTGGGCTGGGAACCCTGAGAAGGGGTCTCTTGAGTGCTAAGCCTTTGAGGGAGAATGGTGGATGGGGGAGAAGCTTTGGTGCTGAGCCTCCAAGGAAGGAAGGTGGATGCTGGCGGTTCCTGGATTCTCACCCTGCGGTGAGGTATGGATGTTGATGGCTCCTGGCCGTTGAGTCCTTGAGTATGGATGATGGGCGCAGGTGCTTGTATGTTGATCTGATGACCTTGGGTGGCATCTGGGAGGTTGGAGGTCCCTTTCAGAGAGTCTTGGGTTTCATTTTTTCTGCTGTAGGGAGCTGCTGCCCTCTTGCTCTGGAGGCCAGAGGAGTGCCGGTCCATGTGGAGAAAGAAGATGGGGCTGGCCCCCGAGTGTGCTCAGCTCGCACCAGCCTCTGCTTCCAGGCACTCCCATG